TCTCCTTTCTGAAATACCTCCATTGCTGTGTCCCCCCACACAATGATGTCATCAATGTACTGCAGATGTTCTGGAGCTCCACCCTTCTCCAGTGTAGCCTGGATCAATCCATGACAGATGGTGGGACTGTGTTTCCACCCCTGGGGCAGTCGCTTCCAGGTGTACTGCACACCCCTCCATGTGAAAGCAAACTGAGGCCTGCACTCTGCTGCCAGAGGAATGGAGAAAAATGCATTGGCAATGTCAGTGGTGACGTACCACTTTGCTGCCTTGGACTCCAGCTTGTACTGGAGTTCCAGCATGTCTGGCACAGCAGAACTCAGTGGTGGAGTCACTTCATTCAATACACGATAGTCCACAGTCAATCTCCATTCTCCTTCAGATTTATGCACCGACCAGATGGGGCTGTTGAAGGGTGAGTGGGTTTTGCTGACCACCCCTTGGCTCTCCAGCTCATGGATCATCTTGTGGATGGGGATCACAGCATCTTGATTTATCTGGTACTGCCAGTGGTGCAGTGTCAAGGTAGGAATTGGCTCTTCCACCCTGAGGAGTCCCACTGCAGATGGGTTTTCTGATAGCCCAGACAGGGTGTTCAACTGCTTAATGCCCTCTGCCACCACAGCAGCTATTCCAAAAGCCCACCTGAGTCCCTTTGGGTCTTTGTAATAGCCGTTCCTGAGGAAGTCTATGCCTAGAATACATGGTGCCTCTGGGCCAGTCACAATTGGATGTTTCTGCCACTCTTTCCCAGTCAGGCTCTCCTCAGCCTCCAGCAAAGTCAATTCCTGAGATCCTCCCTTAACCTTGGCAATGGACACAGGTTCTACCCCACATGTCCCGATGGTATTAATGTACATTGTGAACCAGTGTCAACCAATGCACTGTGTTCCTGTGGCTCTGATGTGCCAGGCCATCGGATCCACACCATCCAAAAGACCTGGTTTTCCTGTGCCTCTCTCAGGCTAGAGGCAGGGCCCCTCTAGCCCTGGTTATTATTTCTCTCCTGGGCATACATACTGGAGGTTCCTTCAAGGGGATCTGACAGATCATCTTCCCAATACCCTGCATCTTGGTCATGGGCAGCTGAGGCTACCTTCACTTTAGTGGAGCTCCCTCAGTTAGTGTTTCCTTCCCTGAGTTGGCGCACCCGTGCTGCCAGGACAGAAGTGGGTTTCCCATCCCACCTTCTCATGTCTTCCCCATGGTTACACATAAAGAACCACAGGTCAGCACGTGGGGTGTACCCTCTCTCCCTAGCTGGGCACGTGGGGCTCTAATGCCCATGTCCATGACTCGCACTGGTGCTGCACTGATCTTCCTCACCTCTTCCCTTATCTCCTTCATCTCCTCCTTAAACTCCTCTCTGAGGTCCTTAACCACAGCAGAGACATGAGCCTGCATTGGGCCAGCCATCATAATCTGAAAATTCCTGAGCCTGTTGGCAACAGAACCCACTGTCACTTGGTTGGTATCAGCATCAATCATTGCAATAAAGGGGGTATATTGAGATGGGCCCAGGTTTGCCAGATTCCACAACATCTGCCCTGTGCACCTGACCTTGTCAGGGTCATTGTCATGCTGTCCATCCCTCCCAAAGAGCACCTCCATTACTGCCACTTCTCTCAGCTGTTGGATCCCTTCCTCAAGGGTATTCCAACGCATTCTCTGGTGGTGCTCCTGCATTCTCTCTTAGTGGACAAACCTCTTTCTCACACTCATTAAAAGTCATTCCCAGAGGGAAAGGAGGCCTGTCTCCCTTACAAATACTTGGTCCACACCTGAGTCCTGGGTCAAGGCTCCCAAATTCCTTGCCTCAGTACCATCCAGTTGCAGACCTGTACCCATAAGGTCCCAGACCCGCAGTAACCAGGTTGTAAAAGCCTCACGGCCCCGTCGTACAATGTCTTTTCGCAGGTTACAGAGACTCTCGTATGACAAGGACTCAGTGATGATCTCAACTTGTGGCTCCCCTGCTGGTTGTGAGGGGCCCCCTTCCTGACTCTTATTATCTAGGTGCCTTGTTTCCATCTTAGACTTCCTAGTTTCCACAGGGGCAACTGCTGCTGGCTGTGAGTGCCTTTGCAGTACAGCTGGAACCTGGATAGATATAACATCTGTGGGTTCCACTGCTGCACCATCAGAGTCTGCCTCTTTAAGGCAGGGGGAGGGTTTCTTACCAGCTGGGGAAAGGTACTCCTTCAGCATCTGGCCCATCTCACATATCTCCTTCGCTAGCACCCCCACCCATTCTGGGTGGTTACTTTCCGGGGTGGGCTGTGGGGCAGGGTCAGGCTTTGGGGCAGCATCACTATTTCCTGGGGTAGGTATCAGGGTTGTTATCCAAGTCAATCTCCCCTTATCTCTTAATGTTAGATAGAACAGGTTTAACAGGGATATCAGCAACACCTGCCACAGTATAATGTCATTTGCATTTAGAGCAGATTTGAACCCCTTGAAGACTGGTGGGGTGAACTTCAAAAACCGTGTAATGGGTTGGGGGAAGATTTCACCTCCTGCCACTTCCTCACAGTAAATACCATTATTGAAGTAGCCCCAGAAACACACACTTAGAGTGCGGTAGCTCTGAATCCATGTGGCCATCTTCCAGAGAAAATTAAAAATCCATTCATTCCTCAGCTGATCAACCCACAAAATGAACCGGATAATAGCCACAGTAACCTTGGTTATGAGACTCATGTTTAAAAAAGGGCTTGCAAATGGGAGAGATATAGCAGTGACCACATGGAGGCCAATCCAGGGTAAGCTGGACAGCATGGTGTCACCTACCACAAGCTTGGGTAATTCAAGAACTGTTATCCCCTTTTCTACCCCTCTCTCAATGCCCTCAGGCAATGCCCCACATTCCGGGTGCCAAAATCTGTCTCGGTTTGAAAGACAGGTATGGTCTAAGGAAAGGCGAGAACCCCTTTCTGGAGATGCAGAGTGCAAATCCCTCCCTTCCAATTATTATAGTTTCAAATCATATCTTCTGCTTTCAGGCAGAAGATATGGGGATAAGGATAACAGCTCTTTACTGATATCTAACAAGGCAAACAAAAGAAACAACAACAGCTATAAAAATTGACAACAAAACAGAACAGTATAGCTCAGTTCCAGTCCCTTCTTGGCCACGGTCTC